GGGTTGTGCATTGGAAAGCACTCCGCACTTGGAATCAAGATTCAGAACACCTGAATTTGAATTCTGTTTCTGAATCTTGGACAAATCACTTCTTATCTCTGGGCCTCAGATTCCTCTGTTAAAAGTAAGTACTTCTTATGGAACCTTCCAGCTCTAACTTTCTGCCATTATGAGAACTTTGGCTTTGTTGCCCAGGCCTCATATGTTTCACCCATTTTGGACAATCTATTTACTGCTCAGTCCCTTCCTGTTCTTTACTTAGAGCTGCCACAGGGGCAGAATTCTTGTTCCAGCCTGATCTACTAATACTGCAGGTTCTATTATCCAGGACCTTGCAGGGTGCTCCCTGTTCTGATCGCATTTTGCAGGCCTCACCCAGCCTTAGCTAGGATTTGCCTGATTGTTCCTGATCGGTTCTTGCTGCAATTTGGGCCTTGATGTTTAGAATTGACTTGGGGGTGTCATATGGAGTAAATGTGGACTCATCCACCAGCTGAGTTCTCAGGATGAGCCTAGGTTTACTGCTTTAAGGTGATAATTGACAAATATTTATTAAACAATTACCTTGTGCCAAGACAGCTAGTTGGTAGAGTAGATAGAGTGACAAGCCTAGAGTCAGGGAGACTCCTCATCCTGAGCATAAACCCACCCTCAGACACTTAGTAGCTGTGTGATCCTGGGCAAGTCCCTTAACTCTGTTTGCCTCTCAGTTCCTCCTCTGTAAAATGAGTTAGAGAAGGAAATGTCAAAGCACTTCAGTGTCTTTGCCAAGAAAACCTCAAATGGCATCAGGAAGAGTCTGACGTCATTAGGTGCTATGCTAAATGCTGAGGTTACAAGGAAAAGTAAAAACATCTCCTGCTCTCAAGGAGCTCATTCTGTGGGAAAAGATAACATGCAAATAAATGGAAGTTATTTATTAAAATATTATTAAGTACTAAATAAAAACTATGATTAAATAATTAAAATATTATTAAAATAGAAGTTAGGACCGAGCATGGAGGGCCAAGGAATTGTGCCACAGGTTTTCAGAGGGGTAGGGACACTTCCCATGAATTTTCACTTTCTTGGTGTCCTTGGGAAATTTAGCCAAGGTTAGCAATGACTGTTTTGGACTGTTTTGACCTTTTAGTGTTCACTGAATGTTCAGAATTGTGTCTTACAAGATATCTTGTTAGAATTTTTTTTTTTAAATAAGCAATGGCAACACTATTTCTTTCCACAAAATATTAGTGTGCCAGTGGGAAGTCTCCTTGTCTTCCCCAGAGGGACCCCAGGGAGTGACACAGGTTAGTGACTGAACTGTGGCTCAAGATGGAGACAAGACTGGAAGAAGACTTCATTGAGCATGACAACCCTGAAAATATCCAATAGGATTGTGTATTTAGAAGTGTAAAGTCCTGAGACAAACCAAAGCCATGAGTTGAAGAATAAAGCATCTTTAAGTGAGATACCAGGATAGATACCAGCATAGCAAACCTGCCACCCTGGGGGATGTCCCAGCAGCCAACTCACTGGGAAAGGTTCTGTCAACAGACTGAAGCCCACCCCTCAAAATACAGATGAGTCCAAGCTGGGTTGAAAGCAGAAATATTTTATTAGGAGGAAAAGCAGACACTAGTGCCAAAGCCCCTAGCACAAAGGAGCCCATAGACCAGGAAAGGAAGAGGAGATTTATGCTTGAAAACCATGAAGGGGTAGTTCATGAATGGACAGTCTTTCTCAGAAAGAGATGGACAGAGAAGTAGGACATTTTGCAGGAACAGTGGACCACAAGGCTACTTGCAGGGGCAGGGATAGGAGAGGAGGGCACACAGCTCAGCAACGTCAACCTGCAAAGGCATCTGGGAGTGAGCAAGACTTTGGCTCACTGCAGGCTACTTTCAGCAAACAGGTTTATTCTGTATCTAGTGCATCTGCTTGGTAAGGTAACTCATAGAAAACCAACATATTAATCTTAGGGCCACTTCCACAGTTACTATACTTTGAGAAGGGGGGAGAAGGTATTGTTGCAGTCTGATAGGTTTAGAGTCCCCTCAAGGACTGGAGTATAGACAGAGTGGTCTGGAATGAATTCACAGACTCAAGCATTCTTTAAGTCAAGGTGGCAAAGATTTATTGTTATGCTACACAGCGGGCAGAGGTCCTTAAGGAATTCTGCCATGGTGGGCAGAGCTCCTTAGGGAACTTGCAACCTAACAGGAATGATGCTAAAGCTTATATAAGAAAAGTAGTGAATTATGTGGCAAGCTAATTAGGTGATAACATACAACTGCGTCATTCACTACTGGAAACTGGGGAAGGGAGTTTCCTAAGGGGTGTGTTTTTGGTCTGTTATACCAGAAACAAGATAGTTTTGGGAGTTGACATCTATAGCTTAACGTCTGGATTGTATATGGTGACTGTGGGAATCAGTACTTAATAGTTCTACTGGTACAAGATAGTCCTGTTCATATAAGGAAATTCTACAGAGGTCAGCTTGTTCTTGTAACAGGGAGAGATAGTTTGCCTCACTGGGCCCACTCATGAGTCACTGCCAGAGAGAGGGTCCTTGGGCTGGAGGGAAACTGTCAGGGATAGTGTTTCTGAGGCTAGGGAGAAATATGATCATGGAATTGAGGTTCAGGTATAGGCACCCAAGCACCCCATCGGTATTATGAGGTTGCAAGGTCTGGTCATGAGACCTCAGTGGCCCTTGGCAAGGAAACCCACATGATTCTAGCTGTTTTGCCCTTCATGCCATGAATCCCAATGGAAGGGGACAAGGACATTAGAAGCTGAACTCCAGCTTAACTTAGGTCCCTTTATATGGTAAGATCTCTGGTTGGGGGGGACTTATGGTGTGGTTTCAGCCCAACCTAATCATGAGTGAAAGTCTTAAGAGTAGGAATGTAAAAACATTGCTGAAATTTGTATATTACTACGATCATTAAGGGATTGGCAAGTAACATTTGGTATTAATAATTTCCTGCCATTATATTAGCAATTGTCTGTCAGAAGATAATCTGATAAAGAAATCCAAGAACTGGAGGTAGAAGCAAGGTGGATAGAAGAGTTGTATAAAAGAGCAGTGGTAGCAGAAAAAGGTGGGATAAATATTGTCATCAAAGTATAGTGCAGACCAACTGAAAGAGGACATCGATGAGGAGACTGAGACACATCACAAATTTGACTCAGACATTTCAATTCTCGAAACATCTGCTAGAACCCTTTTCTTCTCCCTCCCCTTCCCCAATCAGAAAATTTTTTGACTTTCTTTAATGATAATTTCATCCTTCAAAAAGTAGAAAAACCAACCAGGGAAAGTCTGTTTTGAATCTGACTCACCAATAAGGAAGAACTGGTTGGTGGGTGGAGGGGACAGAAACTTTGGTGGGGAAGTGATCACTGTAGCTTAGAATTTGTGATAACAGAAGTGGAGAGTCGGGGAGAGTATAACATATGCTCACATTTTAAGAACAGACTTCAAGGGGTGCAGAGACAGAAAAGATTGAACTTCATGGCCCAGATTTCTACAGGTTTTCCAAAGCAGTAGGAAACCTCTTAAATCTATTGCAGATTCCTTTAAGACTGTGAGATCCTTAGGAACTATCTTGCTTCCTAAACTTGTATTACAATGCTTTGCACACAGTAAGTGCTTAATAAATGCTTTGTCATTCATTCAACCAACCATTGTTGATGACCTCAATCCAAGACTGCTCTCAAAAATGAAGTTCTTCAATGATTCCCATCAGGAAGACAAAGTGAGATTGTCTGAAGAAACCGCCTATGAGTGCTTGGAGAACTTTTCAACCAACTTAGATTTTTTTTTTAATAGTTGTAAAGAAATGAAAGCAAGGTCAGGTAATGAAGGATAAATTCAAAAGCATGCCTTTGTCCTGTAAGAATAATTGTCAACCCTCATAAGTCATCAGCATTTCTGTAGATTACTAACAAAGCCCAACAGCAGGAGAAAGAGAAATTCCATTTAAAATTAACATAGGCATTATGAACACAATTACAAAACACTTTATTTATTTATTTATTTTGGTGAGGCAATCGGGGTGAAGTGACTTGCCCAGGGTCACTCAGCTAGTAAGTGTTAAGTGTCTAAGGCTGGATTTGAACTCAGGTCCTCCTGACTCCAAGGCCAGAGCTCTATCCCCTGTACCACCTAGCTTGGCCACAAAACACTTTTCACACAAATCAAGATCTAAATAATTGGAAAAAATGTCAATTGCTTGTGAGTAGGCTGAGCTAATATAAAAAAATGACAATTCCGCCTAAATTAATTTACTTATTCAGTGCCATACCAATCAAACTACCAAAAAATCATTTTATAGAGCTAGAAAAAAATAATAACAAAATCCATCTGGAAGAACAAAGTATCCAGAATGTCGAGGGAATTAATGAAAAGAAATGCTAGGGAAGGTGGCTTAACCATACCAGATCTCAAATTGTATTATAAAGCAGCAATCATCAAAACTACTTGGTACTGGCTAAGAAATAGAGTGGTGGATCAGTGGAATAGGTTAGGTATACATGACATGGTAATCAATAATTAATAGTAATATACTATTTGATAAACCCAAAGACTCCAGCTTCTGGGATCAGAACTCATTATTTGACAAAAACTGCTGGAAAACTGGAAAACAGTATGGCAGAAACTAGGTATAGACCACCATCTTACACCATATAGCAAGATAAATTTCAAAATGGATACACAATTTAGATATAAAGGCAGATACTATAAGCAAACAGGAAGAGCAAGGAATAGTCTACCTGTCAGATTTATGGAAAACAGAAGAATTTATAACCAAACAAAAGAGAGAATATTATGAAATGCAAAATGGACAATTTTGATTAAATTAAATTGAAAAGTTTTTGCACAAAGCCAATGCAACCAAGATTAGGAGGGAAGCAGAAAATTAGGGAAGAATTTTTATAACCAGTGTCTCTGATAAAGGCTTCATTTCTAAAATATATAGAGAACTGAGTCAAATTTATAAGAATTCAAGTCATTTCCCAATTGACAAATGGTCAAAGGACATGAACAGGCAGTTTTCAGAGGAAGAAATTAAAGCTATCTATAATCACATAAAAAAATGTTCTAAATCACTATTGATTAGAGAAATGCAAATCAAAAGAACTCTGAGGTACCACATCACACCTATGAGATTGGCTAACATGACAAAACAGGAAAATAATAAATGCTGTAGAACATGTGGGAAAATTGGAACACTAATGCATTGTTGGTGGAGTTGTGAAGTGATTCAACCATTCTGGAGAGCAATTTGGAACCCAAAGGGCTACAAAATTGTGCATACCCTTGGACCCAGCAATACAACTTCTAAGTCTGTATCCCAAAGAGATCATAAAAATGTGAAAAGGTCCAACATGTACAAAAATATTCATTGCAGCTCTTTCTGTGGTGGCAAAGAATTGGAAATTGAGGGGATGCCCATCAGTTGGGGAATGGCTAAACAAGTTGTGGCATGTGAATGTAATGGAATACTATTTGCTATAAGAAATGATGAGCAAGCAGTTTTCAGGAGTACTGAAACATGGATTGAGCTGAGCCTGGTAAGGAAAGCTAAGGAACACACACAAAAAAAAATAGAAGAAGAAGAATCTGACTTCCTTTAGAATTTAGGTCACAACTTGGTAAGACTCAGAGAGGATACTTCAGCAATAACAAACTGTTCTTGGAACAACTGTAAACCCTACCAATAGAAACAAACCCTTTTGATGACTTAATAGTTCCTCCCTGAATAAAGGAGGGACTGCCCACTTATGTCATCAATCATCATCTTTTCCCTTCATTACTACTTCTAGGGCTGAAGCCCCCACTTATCTTCTGCCCTTTGTGGGTCTCCTATGTGTAGCAGTTAGTATACTTCTATTAGTAAGTAAGGCTCACTGTTTCTAAGTATGTGAGTCACTGACCTGGAGTTAGGGGAACTTGACTCTTGGGCTCTCAGATTGAATGGAGACATGTCTATTCATTGACCTCTTCTTTCCCTCTTTCTTGATACCTTTGCCTGCCTTCTAACTGATGGGTTGTTTCTGGTAGAAAATTCTGGTTCCAATAAAAAGTGGTTGACAATGGGGTTGGAACAACATCTATAGATTACTTCATATTTCACTCTACTTTTTTTTAAACAGAGTTTCACCATGGAATTCCCTTGTGGTCTCCTCACCTGTTCCAAGCAGCCAGGTAAGTCTACCAGGAGTACAAGCAAGGATAAGAAAAGGAGAGAACTCCAGAAGTGTGTAGCCCTTCTGTGGAGTGTTTGGTGGTGAGAATTGAGGACTGAAGTGCATTTCCTTCCTCCAGTGCCTCTTAAGAGCATCTCGGTGGCTGTGTCTATCCGTGAGTTTGTGGCAGATGTGTCTGCAAGCCTGGACTACAAGAATGAGGAAGCAGCTCCTGTGGAAGCATTCTTTGTGTTCCCCATGGATGAAGACTCTGCTGTTTATAGCTTCCAGGCTCTGGTGGACGGGAAGAGTATAGTGGCAGAAATACAAGAGAAGCAGCAGGTAGTGGGGATGGCAGCCCAGGGCTCTCCTTTGCCTTCTTCATGTTAAACCGATATATTTATTGTAGTCTCAGCTGGAAATAATTGAGTTGCTTTTGTCCTCACTTGAGGTGCTGTTTTGCCCTTGGTATTCTCTTCTGCAAAATGAGGGAGTTGAACTAGGTAGTCATCAAGGGGCTTTCTGACTCTTAATTCTCTGTTTCTTGACTAAAAGCATTTGGAGAGAAGTCAGCCTGAGTGGCTGTTCCTTCTGCTCTCAAGCCTGCTATCTTTTTCTCTCTGACTGCCTCCCCTAAGCAATTATGTCCTCTTCTGCCTCTTTCCCCAAAGCCTTTTTTTCCTCTTC